CTAATGACCAAAGACTAGGAGAGTTGTGGGATGACATCAAGAACATACACAAAGAAAGCAGAGTCGTTAAGAAGAGAGAAAAGAAAGAAAACACCAAAATGGATGTTGGAAGAGACTCTGAAACTTTCTCTTGAGTATAGAGAAGCTAAAGCAACTGGAAGAAATGAGAAAGTAAAAGAACTTAATAGAAAATTTCAAAGGTCAGCATGAGAAGATAAAGTAAACTAGTATAATGAAATGTGAAAACACCTGGAGTTAGAAAATCAAAAAGGGAGAACATGCTCAGTATTTTTCAAGCTGAAGGAAATTAAAACATATTTAAACCTCGGTTACAATACCAAAGGATTCCATGGGCAAAACATTGAATGATGTAGAAAGCATTACAAGAGGATGGAAGGTATACACAGAATCACTGTATCAAAAAGAATGGTCGCTATTCAACCATTTCAAGAGGTAGTTTATGATTAAGAAGTGATGGTACTGAAGGGAGAAGTCTAAGCTGCATGCAAGGCATTGGTGAAAACTAGGATCCAGAAATTGACAGAATGCAAATTGATGTGTGTCAGCAAAATGACGCAGCACTGGAGGTGCTCTCTCAGCTATGCCAAGACATTTGGACGACAGTTACTTGGCCAATCGTTCCAAAGAAAGGTGACCCAACAGAATGTGGAAATCACTGAACAATATCATTAATATCACATATGAGTAAAATTTTGCTGAAGCTAATTAAAAAATGGTTGTAGCAGTACATCGACACGGAGCTGCCAGAAATTCCAAGTTGGATTCAGAAGAGAATGTGGAACTTGGGATATCTTTGCTGACATCAGATGTATCTTGGCTGAAAGCAGAGAATACCAGAAGATGTTTTACTTGTGCTTTATTGACTATGTGAAGGCATTTGACTGTGTGGATCAAAACAAACTATAGATAACATAGCTTAGAAAAAATATTCCAAAGCACTTGATCGTGCTCAGGAGGAACCTCTACATAGACCAAGAGGCAGTTATTAGAATAGAACATGGGAATACTGAATAGTTTAAAATTTGGAAAGGTGTGCATCAAGGTTGTATTCTTTCACCATAGTATGCTGAGCAAGTAATATGAGAAGCTGGATTATATGAAGAAGAACATGGAGTCAGTTTTGGAGGAACACTCATTAACAACCTGTGCTACGTACCTGACACAACCTTGCTTGCTGGAAGCAAAGAAGACTTGAAGTACTTAGTGATCGAAGATCAAAGACCACAGTTTTCAGTATGGATTGCACCTCCATGTAAAGAAAACAAAAACTGTCACAATTGGACCAATAAATTACATGATAAATGGAGAAAAGATTGAAGTTGTTAAAGACTCCATTTTGCTTGGATCCACAATTAACACTCATGGAAACAGCAGTCAAGAACCTAGCAGCAAACTGCATTAGACAAATCTGCTGCAAAAGACCACTTTAAAGTGTTCATAGCAAAGATGTCATTTTGAGGACTAAAGCATTCCTGACCCAAACTATTGTATTTTCAATCGCCTCATATGCATGTGGAATTTGACAGTGAATAAGTACAGTCAGAATGCTCCTTAGAAACCTGGATGGTGAGACTTTGTTTCTCATACTTTGGGCATATTATCAGGAGAGACAAGCCATTGGAGAAGGACACTAAGCTTGGTAAAGTGGAGGGTCAGTGAAAAAGAGGAAGACCCCTAATAAGATAGACTGACACAGTGGCAGCAAGAATGGGCTCAAATGTAACAATTTGAAGGTGGCTCGGGCCCAGGTAGTGTTTCCTTCTGTTGTGCATAAGGTTACTATGAGTCAGAATTGACTCGATGCCAGCTAACATAAGAAGAAGCTATACCAACAGAATGTGGAAATTATCAAACTGTATCATTAATATCACATAAGTAAAATGTTGCTGGAGATAATTTAAAAATGGTTGCAGTAGTACATTAACAAGCTGATTGCAAACAAAACAAGACATAAATGTGACCTATGTTGTTGTGTTGTTAAATGCCATCAAGTTGGTTCCACTCATAGCAACCCTGTATAGGGTTTCTGAGGAGCAGCTGGTGGGTTTGAACTGCTGACTTGTGGTTAGAAGCCCAGTGTTGATCCTAAAGTGTCACATTGTTGTTGTTGTTGTTGTTGAGTGCCATCAAGTCAGTTCTGACCCATAGTGATCCTGTGTAGGGTTTCCGAGGAGCAGCTGGTGAGCTTGAACTACTGACCTTGTGGTTCAAACTGACTTTGCATCCTAACACATTTGCCCACAGTGCCACACCAGGACTCAGTAGCGCATCTAAAATGAAAAACACAACCTATTCCTATCTATTTAACTCTGACTCATAGTGACCCTGTATAGGGTTTCTGAGGCAGTAAATCTTTATGGGAGTTGACAGCTTCATCTTTCTCCTAAAGAGTGGCTGTTTGAACTGCCAACCTTCCAGTTAGCATTCCAGTGCTTATCTTACAGTACCACCAGATCTTCTGTAGTGCATCTACATTGTAGTAAACACAATGCAGTAAAAATTCATTTCAGGAAATATTTCATTTAATGTGATGAAAAATTGAAGATACTTGGAAACAAATTACTCCAATGGACTAATGGACCAAATGAGCGTCAGTCTCTAGGACCCTGTGATCAGAAGAACTAAATGGTGTCCAGCTCTTAGGACCAGCTGCTCTGGATGGGATCACATTAGAAGGTCCTAGATAGAGTGGGAGAAAATGTGGAACAAACCTCAAAATCATTAAAAAAAAAAATCCAGGCATACTGGTTAGGTAGAGACTGGTGGAACCAAGGCTTGGTCTCCTGTCATCTCTGGAAATGAACTTATTCCTGTGGCTCAATTTCAGTTATACAATAAATAGGTGTATGGGGTGGGAGTGGGTTGGGGTGGGAAGCAACAACATTAGTGAGGTGTGCACACCATAGAATGGTCAACCATTCAAGATCACAATGGCAGCATTTACCTAAGGACAAAATCCAGAAGGGTTGAGAAAGGAGGAATGGAAATGTAAAACACCAGGAGGAGGTGGAATACATGGTTACACTACACAGATTGCAATCATTGAGCTGAAACGAAGTATATGATTTATTGAATGTTAAAATTGATCATTTGCTCTGTAAACCTCCATGCACATCGCAATAAAAAGTTATACATTTTCTTGTTGTTGTTTTAAAATCAAGGCTCTCAAAGTTAGTGCTTTCAGTATCTTATACGAGGCAGACTACATCAACATCCAACAGGTTTACCTAGCACCAATTCTTTATTGATAGCGCGTTCTACACCAAGCCAATACTTTAACACATTTCTTTGACTCCATGTATCTATGGGATACAGTACAAATACCTCAGTGAAGCAAACAAAAGAACTCCCTGATCCAACTCCTGATCTTTTCAGGGTGACCTCTCTCCTCCATGTCCAAGATCCCCTTACACCTAACATTACATATTGCAGTAAGTTACAACATCCCTTACTCATTACAATACACAGCCCTTGGACATCTCTTCACCTTTGGATTTGTGACCCTGTGCTCTCACTATCCTACCTGTTGTTCGTCTCCTTTTAAAAATTTCTTCTCACATTTCACTCCTCACGTCTCAAATGTCACTTCTCTACGAAGTCGTTGCTCTTTGTTCAACAGCTCTGAGTTTCTACCTACCTTCCAACTTCTTTGCGGGCTCTGCTCATTCATGGCATTATCATCCTGCTTTACACCATCTACCCTTCGAACTAAATACTTGCTGAGAGTTGGCATCATTTCTTTCTCTATCTTTGGATCCCCAAGCTCAGCATTTTGCTAAATAAATATGTGTTAAGAGAAGTGAATTGTAAATTCCATTTTTCTCCCAGACTTCTGGTTTTCATAGAAATGCTGTTTCCCATTCAATTTTTCTTTGCAGAAAAACTTGAGAATAAAAGTGAATAACAGATGAGGCAGTTTGTTGTTGTTGTTAAGTGCCGTCGAGTCGGTTTCGACCCATAGCGACCTTGAATAGGGTTTCCGAGGCTGTAAATCTTTACGGGAGCAGATCGCCTCATCTTTCTCCCGCGGAGCAGCTGGTAGTTTCGAACTGCTGACCTTCCGGTTCACAGCCCGATTCGTAACCACTACGCTACCAGATGAGGCAGTTTAAATAAGACAAATTAATTTTTTGCTTCCAGTTTGGGTTTCCTATTTTAAGAGAGACAGTTTTCTGTGCTTACACAACAGCCATTAGCCACACATGTTGCTGTTGTTGTTGTTGTTGTGTGCCGTGGAGTCGATTCCGACTCATAGCGATACTGTACAGGGTTTCCGAGGCTGTGAATCTTTACGGGAGCAGAAAGCCTCATCTTTCTCCCGCGGAACAGCTGGTAGTTTTGAACTGCTGACCCTGAGGTTAGCAGCCCGATTCAGTTAAGCCACACATATGACTATTTAAATTGTAATTAATTAAACATAAGTAAAATTAAAAATTCATTTATTCAGTCTTACTAGCCACATTTCTAACGTTTCACTTGTTGATAATGCAGAGTGGGGCTCTATAGGACAAGGCTGGAAGCTTCTGGCCTTTATAATTTTCTTAGGGCACTGTGTCTCTCAAAACACACTATTTCTCCTATAGCCACTATCTTTATTATTTTGTCTGTAATTAGTTGTGTCTTTTAATAGTCTGAGAGTTCCAAGGGGACATGGACCGTGTCTTGGTCACTTCTGTTGATCAAGTTTAGCTTTGAAGTACCGGGAATGGGACATCCACATACAATTCCATGCTGTTTTCTGTGCAAATCTGTTCCTTAAGGTAACTGGCCTTAAACGAATTTTTAAAAGCATTACCGTGTAGATGAGCCGTGAGCACTGACTCGCCCAATTTGTGGCCATGGCCACAGCTAGCAGTAGCGTCACTGCGCCAAGGTCCGCCTCTTCCCACCCTCGTCTCTCCTCGCCTAGCTGGCGCTACGCCTCCTAGTCACGCCCCCGTCGGCTCCCCTTGTCGCCTCCCGCGCCCCCCCCCGCCATCACTGCGCAGGCGCGGCTCGCAAGCGTGCGGTGTCTCAAGGCTGCCTGGCTGCAGGCGCTCAGAAGCGCCGGGATTTGTGGCCTGCGATCGGCGAGCACCAGCCACGCACTGTCTGAGGTAGCTAGGTGCGGTGAGCTGAACTTCCCCGCGCCCCAGGCTGTATGGCCATGGAGAACCAGGTACTGACACCACACGTTTACTGGGCTCAACGACACCGCGAGCTGTATCTGCGCGTGGAGCTGAGTGATGTGCAGGTAAAGGCCGGTTCGGGTGGCGGGACGCGCGCTGGATTCCGGCTCCGGGCGCCCACCGGTACCCCGATCCTTTTTGTCCGATTGTGCGCTTAGCAACCTGCAGTGCGCCAATGAGATCCCGGACGCTGAGCACTAGCGGCTCTAGGCCCGGGACCCCGCTGGCCCTCGTCGAGGTACACCGGCAGATCCCTGGCCGGGGCCGCCACCCCCGAGGGCCGCAGGCATCTTCAGGTGCCGAGTGAATCCAGAGCGGGCCTCGGCGCCTGCCCGCCACCCCTTTGTTTGCCATCTGCGGCCTGTCGAGCCCGGTTCGGGCGCTGCAAATTTGGCCGTCGGGGATCTAGTTGGCCTTTGCTCTTTGAGGCGTGGGATAAATTCATCGATTCTGGGCTGCCCTGTGACAGTAGCCTGCTGCACTGTGACTGGACGTCTAGCTCCGGCCTGCAAAGGTCCAGTGAGGCCCCTCCGACACCAACCAGGCTAGCCGCCACCTTGGAGGGGTCACACCCACCTCCCAACCCATGAGTGATATTAGTCATGTTCATTCATTTTCATTAAAATCCAGGAGACCTCGAGGAAATGACACACACCTCCACCCCCGTTTTGAAGGCACTAAACCCAGATTTACTGAGTGGAATAGAGAATTTAAAGAATTATTTTAAATTACATTGAGTGTTTACATTTAATCTAACTGCCTCCATATATGAAGAAGTGGTTGTTGTTGTTATGTGCCGTGGAGTCGGTTCCGACTCATAGCGACCCTGCACAGGGTTTCCGAGGCTGTAAATCTTTACGGTAGCAGACCGCCTCATCTTTCTCCCGCGGAACCGCTGGTAGTTTCGAATTGCTGACCTTGCGGCTTGCAGCCCGATTCGTAACTACTACGTGGGCCCTCCTAAACTGTGGAGACCCCAGGACCTGTATGCATGCACACATCTAAACCATCCAGGATTCTAATCTTGGAGAAACTGTGGTTTTCAGTCTGAAATGTTTTTTCTACTGTCATCCTTACTCCCTGTTTCCTGTCCTGGGGTGGCACCATAGGATAAGCACTCGACCTTGAGGTCGGTTTGAACCGCAGGAACCCTATACAGGGTCGCTATGAGTTGGAACTGACTCGACGGCACTTAACAACAACAACAACCTACATTGGCAGTTCAAATCCACCAGCTGCTTCTTGGGAACCTTCTGAGTGGGAACATACTTTGTTGTTGTTGTTAAGTGCCGTCGAGTCGGTTCCGACCCATAGCGACCCTGTACAGGGTTTCCGAGGGTGTAAATCTTTACGGGAG